TTATTAGGCAAATGAGTATTTTGACCACATCATCCTCTTTATGCATGTTGTCTTACTCCAAGCTGTATAGGCTCGAAAGCCTACTACCAATTAAGCATATTAGGTGATGTGCATCTCTGTAATGAGAAGGGGTGTGGTCTAATGACATCAACACCCTATATCAGGTGTGCATAATTATTAGGCAACTTCCTTTCCTTTGGCAAAATGGGTCAAAAGAAGGACTTGACAGGCTCAGAAAAGTCAAAAATAGTGAGATATCTTGCAGAGGGATGCAGCACTCTTAAAATTGCAAAGCTTCTGAAGCGTGATCATTGAACAATCAAGCGTTTCATTCAAAATAGTCAACAGGGTCGCAAGAAGCGTGTGGAAAAACCAAGGCGCAAAATAACTGCCCATGAACTGAGAAAAGTCAAGCGTGCAGCTGCCACGATGCCACTTGCCACCAGTTTGGCCATATTTCAGAGCTGCAACATCACTGGAGTGCCCAAAAGCACAAGGTGTGCAATACTCAGAGACATGGCCAAGGTAAGAAAGGCTGAAAGACGACCACCACTGAACAAGACACACAAGCTGAAACGTCAAGACTGGGCCAAGAAATATCTCAAGACTGATTTTTCTAAGGTTTTATGGACTGATGAAATGAGAGTGAGTCTTGATGGGCCAGATGGATGGGCCCGTGGCTGGATTGGTAAAGGGCAGAGAGCTCCAGTCCGACTCAGACGCCAGCAAGGTGGAGGTGGAGTACTGGTTTGGGCTGGTATCATCAAAGATGAGCTTGTGGGGCCTTTTCGGGTTGAGGATGGAGTCAAGCTCAACTCCCAGTCCTACTGCCAGTTCCTGGAAGACACCTTCTTCAAGCAGTGGTACAGGAAGAAGTCTGCATCCTTCAAGAAAAACATGATTTTCATGCAGGACAATGCTCCATCACACGCGTCCAAGTACTCCACAGCGTGGCTGGCAAGAAAGGGTATAAAAGAAGAAAATCTAATGACATGGCCTCCTTGTTCACCTGATCTGAACCCCATTGAGAACCTGTGGTCCATCATCAAATGTGAGATTTACAAGGAGGGTAAACAGTACACCTCTCTGAACAGTGTCTGGGAGGCTGTGGTTGCTGCTGCACGCAATGTTGATGGTGAACAGATCAAAACACTGACAGAATCCATGGATGGCAGGCTTTTGAGTGTCCTTGCAAAGAAAGGTGGCTATATTGGTCACTGATTTGTTTTTGTTTTGTTTTTGAATGTCAGAGATGTATATTTGTGAATGTTGAGATGTTATATTGGTTTCACTGGTAATAATAAATAATTGAAATGGGTATATATTTGTTTTTTGTTAAGTTGCCTAATAATTATGCACAGTAATATTCACCTGCACACACAGATATCCCCCTAACATAGCTAAACTAAAAACAAACTAAAAACTACTTCCAAAAATATTCAGCTTTGATATTAATGAGTTTTTTGGGTTCATTGAGAACATGGTTGTTGTTCAATAATAAAATTAATCCTCAAAAATACAACCTGCCTAATAATTCTGCACTCCCTGTAAATGCCCATGTGCCTAGCACTTGAATTCTTTCTATTCAATGATCTATTATGTCTTTCAGCACATCTATTTTGTTTGTGTACTTATATCTGTCGCTGATGTTAACGCGTGGGTTGGTAAAATTGCACTATGGGCCACTAAATTGTTTTCGCCACCTAAGGCCGCAAGTTGCCAGCCCTCCCCTGGAACTAAATTCTGTGAGATTTCCACCTTGTTGTCCTGGAGCACGCATTAGGAATATAGTCTCAAAGAGTAATTCAAACATGCAGGAGCCTCCTGTCTGGGGCAGTGCTCCGACCATTCCCTGCCGGGCAGTCTTTGTGAATAAGACCTCTTGTGATAATAGATGGGGATTGTTTTATTTCAGTCATGAGAAGGTTATTGACCCTTTTTCACAAGTTAATACTTGGCTGAAACGTTATAACAAACTCCAGCCACAGTGATTTGCTTTTCTTTAAACTCACTCCCTCTCCGTAAACAGAGAAGGCCAAGCTAATATCACGCACCCTTACTTTTTTAGAACGGCAACAGTTTATCAAAATAAATATCTCCTCAACAGACCTCTTTCAATCCTTTTAACACCTCTGATCTTGAACTGCAAAACCCCAGTGTTTTAATTCTTTTTTTTTCAAAGCAGGGATGGCTAACAGCACTGCAGATGTTGTGAACTTCATTTCCCATGATGCCTCACTAACAAACAGGAAGATTGTTAAGGGAACTCAAGTTCCAAAACATTCGATATATTAAAGTTTTCTTCCTCCATGGTATGTCAAACAAGGGGTGATAATATCTACATATTGGGAGCAATTTGGGGCAAGTGATTGTCTCATGTTTCTAAAACAAATCCACTGACTTGTAAAATGTATTTTTTCTTATTTTTTTTAAGCAGATTTGATTAATATACAGTATCTAAAATATATAAGCGGGTCTCAAATATCGGTATGTGAGAAACCATTACTCTTGAAAACAAACACATTTTCCTTTGAATATAGTTTTACTTCTTTAAACAGACACTTTAACAATGGGATAAAATGGTGAACATATAGTCATTATTTGTCTTGATGTGTTTGCCATTAATCATTTACACATTGTGTCAACTTTTTAAGTAAAAAAATGGCCACATAGGACACTGGTATGTCAATCTTGGTGATACAGAATTAGTGATTGCTAATTCAAAACAATAAATATGTGCATGGGCTTGGCCGAGCGCTATCTAGAGCGTAAGAGTACGGGTAAATTGTTAAACATTTTGGACCAATAATATATAAGTAATTTTAAACCATTTTAGATGCAGTTGTGCCATTTAACAAAGACCCCTTCACAACTTTATAGGTAACATTTATCAGAAATAAATGCTGCATATCCGATCTGTAGCTCAAATAGGAAAAAATTGTTTTGAAGTTCTAAAACTTGCATAGATTGACATTTTCAACCTGGTATATATTGACATTGGCTCTTTACACAAGGGTATATCTGATTGCAATGTTCAAAGGGGCCCACAAGGGCTGTGCTACACAGCAAAGTAGAGTTCCCATGGGGCTATTTGAATTGCGGACATTCATAAAAACTACATAATAACCAATAAAGCTCCAATTATGCTTTTCTAATTAAAATTGTGATCTGGCCATCATACTTCCAGGCAAGCATGGGAGATCATATTGTACATTAGACAATGCATTATTATTATTACTATTATTATTAATGGCATTTCAATTGAAATTGCATCAACTTATTCAGTAAATGAGACAATTACAAAATGTTACAGGAACAATAGGTAACTACTTACCAGCAAGTCAAGCTGGGTTCCGAACTTCATTCTCTCCTGACTAGTTTGTGATATACCTCAAGTGTCCAAGTGGATCATCACCCAACGTCTTATCTTGTTGTAAAACCATTGAAGGATAATCAGGACTATACTTAGGACACAAGGTCACTCACTCATTGAGACTGGCAGAAAGGAGATTTAGTCTAAGGCAAAGGAAATGTTTTATTTTTTTTTTACAGTACGAACAATAAGGATGTGGAATTCTCTGCCTAAAGAGGTGGTTTCATTTGAGTCTGTACAGATGTTTAAACCTGGATGAATACTTGCAAAAACATAGCATACAGGGATATCATTTTTAATATGTAGGGTAACAGCTTCTTGATCAAAGGAGAGATCTGACTGACATTCTGGAATTTTTCCCTAGTTTGTTGCAAAATGGGAAAGCGCTGGGGTTCAAACTGGGGTTTTTACCTTCTTTTCGATTAACTGCAAAAACAGAAGTGAGAAAGGCTGAGCTCGATGAACGCATGTCTCTCTTCTGCCTATGTAATTTTGTATCTCCTTTTGAGTCCTGAGGAACAGCAATCTTGCATCAAGAAATCAATCTTTCGATGTGATATTGCTTTGTTTCACTTTTTCAGTTACTATTTCATGTTCATTGTTATTGTTGTATGTGGCAGGCGGAACATTTTATAGAATCAACTTACACCAGCCTACTACATTAGATCAGGTTTGGGGAAGATCTGCCTGGTTTCTTAATGATTCCTTCAAGGTTCGCCTTGTTCCTGAAAGATGGGTCAACTTGACAAGATGAGTCCACATTGACCCTGATGGTTTAGTCCAAGCATTGTAATCACTACAGCCCACTGTCATGGTTATGATACTAGGAGTACCCTCATCCGTTTCCTGGTAATAAGACAAAACATTTTGCAACAGTTTGCCCTATTGCCTGGGGCCTAGCTGTGTGCCGACAGTCATCCAGTGGCCAGTGATGACCCGGCTGGCCATTCATTGGCTGAGAGTGTCAGAATTGACATTAGCCAACTCTTGTTCTAGGCTAGCTAATGATGCCTCAATGGAGCTGCAGTAAAGTTCCATTACCTTGTTAAGCAGGTCTTTTGACAGTTCTTTTCTGCTCCCCATGGCTCAGTATCTAGCCTGCTCAGTGCACATCCACGTGAAAGCTAACAAACTCATTCCCTATTTATACACTGACACTAATTGCAATTTAAAAAGCCACAGGTGGGGGGGTGGAAGCTAGGTGGCAAGCAGAGCGGATGCAGACTTGGCAAGCTCCTGTGCAAAACCTGCTTAACTAGTCTTTATATATGCCAATCTGCTGTTTTTCGCTACACGCCACAGTGTACCGCATTGACGGTGGGGAACATGGTGTACCATTTGGTACCAACTTTAGTCCAGAATACTCACCTTACACTCCTTGCGGCCTTTAAGCTGGTCAGGCGCCGGAGAGACGGCTGCTCTCTGGAAGCCACATCTAGCCACATATTTTTCTCCACAGTGGACTTCTACACCCTCCCCCCCCCCCGGACCAGCGGGGGTCATCCCAGTCCCAGGAGGTCTCCCACCACTACTCTTGACACCTCCAGTTACTGCAAGTAGGGGCATCACGTGGCCAACTGCAACCAGATGCTCAGCAGAGACTCACATCGCTACAACCTTGGCTAAGCTGGATCTCATCTTTGAAAAATTGTCGGCAAAATTTGAAGAGAAGAAGCAAAAGATCCTGGCAGCCCAACTGCACTCCACAGACACACCTACACAAATCACCCACATGCACCGATCCACATCAAAGCCTCCTGGTAACCGAATGGGTTGGGAGGCCCTTCTGCTTGCAAGGCAAAAGTCAAAGGAGCAAGACATCACTGTCTCCTCGGGGCCTGAAGCAGAACTTGCACCAGTTATGGAACTTCCGGGGACTCGAGCTATGGGGCAGCACTTCTTTTAACCCCTCAAAATGGTGGCTACTATTTCAGAAGGGACCAATGGTTCTCACCTGCTGGCTGCTCATCGGTGCATCCCTGCTGCATACACATACCCACGATGAACCTTCTTCTGAGAGCCCAACAATCTACTTGCAAATTAGGGATAGGTTGAGAGCACTCAAGGATCTAGGTTTACCCATCAAATGGTGGACTCCTGTATTTTATTTGCTTTTTGTCTTCCTTTGAAAAATCAGCCTACATTTATTTTATTCTAAGCAATGTTTATCACGTTTTATACTACTTAAATCTTCCAAGCTGTCAGTTAACATAACTAGACCTTAACTTGCTATTTCATTTATGCATGCTGACATATATTATCCCGGTTCTTTCTTGTCTATATAACAAAAATTGTGCCGACATTGCCTATTGATATCTGCCACTGTAATGCTATTGCTTATGCTGTTGGGGGACTGCAAGATTATATATTATATGCGCACAACAAAAAAATAAAAAAATGTAAAAAGCCACAGGTGTACACCCCCGGCAGCAATGGGATTAAACTCTGTATGTGCAATATATAAAAGTGAGACACTGCACATACAGGCTCCAGGCACAATAACCACTTCAAATCGCTCACGTGATTGTGCTTGAAGTACCCTTTTAATGGAGCATCATGGGGCGAGATTTGCTTTTGATTTCAGATAAGTTCTCATGAACTTCAACAGAAAAGATTTGGCGAGGATTTGATTCAGAAAGATTGATTCAGGGGATATAGGAATTATGGGAAATGAATTTGCATTTAACGCCCTGACTGTTGGGTTTATTCTCCAACCACCGAATAATGATAATTTGAGAATGGACTTGACCAAAATATCCCATCTGAAAAAATTCTCCACCTCAGTTACAAAGCCTGGGTGTTTATTTTCATGTAAAATTTTGCAATTCATTTTTTTCACTACAAAGCTACAGTGTTTACTGATAAATAATAAATCCATGCATTTTTTTTTTTTTGACATTCGCAAAATTGAGGTTGTAGTTTTAGTAATTGAAATATGCAAATATAAAAGAGAAACATAAACATTAAGCACATAATCCAAATATTTGTAGAGCTTTCTATATATCTCAGTCTCAGACATGACATGTTTTTAAATAAATATATATTAACACATTTCTGCTTCTATGGTTAACAGTAGTAGAAATAGGATCCATGTCTCTGGAACAGCAGGAGTTAACTAGGCTTGATTAGTTAAAGCTTCATAATGTTACTTATTAAGTGAGTTTTCATTTTATGTATTTTCTTTACTTAACTCATCAAATATTAATACCAAGTCTACTCACAGAATAATCATTTTTCTCTTGTTTCCTGAAAGGGAATTTTGCTAATATTTAGCAAATCCTTTGGGGAAGTCGGTATTTTTTTTACAACGTTTTAACCAATATCTTGCTTTTTAGCTGCTTGGTAATCAATTGGTATGCCAGAGAAAAGACAGACGTTTCAATCTACGCAACCCATATTGGTGATATTAGAAACGTACGTTGCTCATCAATATGTAATTTGTGTCAATAAGCAATTAAATATTTATGGTATCAGTGGCAATTTGAGAACGTTACATCAACAGCCTTGTTATTGTACACATTGCCTTTCATTTTATTAAGTGCCTTGCACATATGGACAAGAGAATGGCCTTTAAATTGAAGATATGATCAATACCTCAAAGGCTACTGTAACAAAGAAGTTAATATCTTGTTGTATTTCAGATTGTGGTGACGCGTTGTTTAAGGAATAGTTACACATCCTTAGGGTGTGCAACTTAAATGAATTTAACAGGGTATTGTGTTTCTATTGGGTTTTTCTTTCATTGTTTTTTGTATGGTTAAAAGTGGATAGTTTTATACCTAGGGAGCGTTGATCTTGGCATCCACCTTTAGACCTACTGAGCATTATGGGAAATGTATTTTATAAACATCAGTGTTGCCAAGAGTTGGCAATACTACTGCAATCAAATGCTATACTAAACTGTCCTTTTGTACCATTGCTGGCACACCACCTAATATCAGTCTTGACAGAGGTTTGGAACGTTTTCAAGTCACATTTGATTAATCGTATGAGGACTGGTTAGTTGCAAGGCCTTCTCGATCACACGGCAAAGTGGAGCAGAGACACAAGCATCTATTGTAGATACAAAGTAGTCTGCTGAGGGGTTGTGTATTATATGTGAAATGAAAGAATGGAATTTTAATAGTGATTGAAAGATTGTAAGGGCAAACATCAACAAAAGCTGACTTGGCAATTTTTCTTATACCACACATCTTGCAATGTGTTTAGGAGGTCCAACAGAAGACTTTTGCTGAGGTTCCATAAGGATTGAATATGCAACTATCCTTAGACTGTATTAGGAATGAAATATCGCACTAGCAGGGCAGCCCACAATCCAGCTGGATACTAAGCAAACGCAAGTGCACAAATTGCGTTCAGCTGTGCCGAATGAACCAAATACCTGTCATCGCTGCACGAACGAAATTATTCATTCGTTAAAACACAAACAAATCAATTAATTCGCATTGAGATTAACAGGCATCACGCAGCTTAACAGAATTTGTGATAGGGTCTACCAAGCAGTTCATAACGCAAACAATATAATTTTGTATGTGTTCAATCTTTCTATCGTAAAATAATGAATGTACCGGTGGACATCTCAAGCTTCCTGGTAAGATCTGTTTTTCATGCCAATGTAGCAAAGTCATAGCCCTTTGAATTTTCAAAATTTTCAGAAACAGAGATGAGTTACATTTATCTGACAACAGTTGCCAAAAGAAAAACTGATTTCTGTTTGTGCCCATCAATTAAAAATTTGCACAAAGGGGTTGACAGCTGTCTCATTTGAAAATCAGGTGATTATTATGTTGATTGCATTATGAATTCACCTGATGTCATTTAGTTCCATCAATGGAACTCTGAGCTGGAATTTCAGAGAGAAATGTTTTATTATCCCCGATATAAAAGGGAAGCACCTGCTGAAATCTATCTTGCATAATTAGGTTGGGACACATGTGAATGATGTCTAACCTAAACTAAACTCTTTTCTGAGTAACGATTCCCCTCCCCCATCTCTATCACCCTTACATTATACAGATGGCTGTTTCTAAGCAGCTGTCATTAGGATATTTTTTTGTTGTATTGGCAGAACAATAGATTTAGTGTTCCTATAGTGTGTTGAGAGGTACACTGCTAGACCCAGGTTAAATTGCACCTGTGTTTGAGCAATTGCCAAGACCGGTTTTGCCAACTTGAAGAAACGTTGCCATGGTAACAAAAAAGGTCTTGAATTGTACAAAATGATCCCATAAAACTGCATTGGGAGAGGTCTCCTTTGTCCACTACAGTAGAACACCACACCCCACGTGCATATTTTTATTGTTTATTTTTTTATTTAATAGTTATTAAATAGAATGTCTACATTTTTAGCCAGATATTTGTCTGGATATTTTTGACATTTTCAGAATCTGATTCCATAATCACTTAATTTTTTTCTTTTCTATTTAATTTATTTTGTTTGTAGTACTCATCTTATCTTCTTCTTTGCTAACTACAATTTCTACTTCTCTGGGTGTAAAACAACTTTTTGATCTTGTCTTGTTCCATCACTTTTTCAAAGTCTTTTTTATTAGGAATCCATGAATCTCAGGCAATTTAATTAAATTTAAAAAAAGTAAAAGAGCTCACCATCTTAAATAATCATGTTACACACACAAACCTATAGACTGTAAGCTCGTTCAACCTATTGTTCCTGTCTCATTTATTGTTAAATCTCCTCCTTTGATAATATTGTAAAGCGCTACGGAACATGCTGGCGCTATATATTAATACCAGAAATAATAATAATGTTAAACATTAAGTAGGACATTAAGTAAGATAATAATTGAATTGTGATACTGTACGTTTAATTTGGATATGATTTAAGATGTGCCCAGTCATTCAAAGTGTGCTTGCTCCAGGAAGATCTTGTGCATGCATTGACCAAGACCAGGCACCTTATTAGGAGAATATATATAAACATATCGTCATAAATAGGAGGGATGGAATAAGGACGGTGTAGGCTGGGCCCTGGGGGTGTGTCAGTGTAACGCAAGCCATGTTACTGGCGGCACTCCTTGCAGAGACAGTATAAGCGGACACCATGAAACTCAAGTGGGACGGGGGCACAAGACACCAAAATCAGGACTGTCCCGCCAAAAGCACGACTGTTGGGAGGCCTGAATACATGATGCTAATGCACGTGACCTACAGTAAAATAACCAATTTTCTCTCTCTTTTTTTTTTTACAGGTAGAATAAATTCCATTTACCCTATATATTAGTAATTAATCATTAACGTAATGCAATCTAAATCATTTTATTTTCTTAATGCAGAACTTTCTATATTTTATCTACGCAGAAGTTTCTATATCAAAATATAAAACTATATAAAAATATTTAGCATATAAAACACACCGTGATATTTTCAGATAGTTTAACATTTTGTTAATCATGTAAATAAAATATACATAATTGCGTCTGTTTTGAGATCCCATATTTTTATCAAATACATTTTCTGCAGAATCTTTTACTGCTCTATTAATAGATCAATAACTCTTCTCTATAACAATATATGATTCCTCCCCTATAGTTGATTTATGCCCCAGGTTTATATCCTTTAAACCAAAGATTCCTTGTGGCTACAAGAAGGATTTCTGAATTTGTTTCCCACATTGACCTTTGCAACCCCAGCTGGCAGAACGTTCTAAGAACCTGGCCAGCTGTCTTCTCTTGTCAAAGATTTTCCCACTTTATAAAACTATATTGAGAGACGTGAGCTCCTATCACTGCTGTGCAGCACTATTTTTACTGTAATTATTTATAAAACAACAACATATTCTGCGGAGATGGATGGGTGAGAAATACACGAAATGGGTGAGAAATACACGAAAATTCAAAACATAAAACTTACAGAGGTTAAAAATGGTAAAAGCTATGCTTAAATAAT